AGTTGAAGCTATAATAACCAAATCTACCTATGTCACTTCGCCAAATACTTTCGTCGCTTATGAGTCACAAGTTGAAACTATAATAATCAATGTGAAAATAAGCAATTTTCGGTCGTCTAAAAGTGATATTAAATTAGGTTGGTATTTTAAATTTCAATTAATAACAATTCAGAATTTATTTAATAACTATGTAGCAACGAAGATCTAATATGCATATTATATCTATTGAAAAGTTTTCAACTTATCATTAGTAACGTTAACAATGATAGCCAACTTCTTGTCGAAATTGAATATTTCAAGAAGGATGCGAAAATCCGAATCTCTATCGATAGACAAGTTAGTGTCCTATATATTTTATCAAATTTCATACAGTCAAAAAATATCCAGAAAGAAAATATCGATCAGTTTGAAATGAAGGGCATAAAGAATGATTAATTAGAGTACATAATTTATCAAAGAACATCCCAGAAAACAACCAAAGGTTAAAAAAAAAAACTATTATAATGTTGAAATTCAAGTTTATTTGTATTATTCTATGCATTAGATGTGCATTGTAAATTGCATTAAATATTATATACTTTATATTATCGTATAATTGAAAAATAAAGTCTTAGTAAAAAAAAAGTAAAAATTCGAAAACATTTTCCGGGCCATCATCCGAACTATCATCCGAACCCACATTTTCCAGATTGAATTATGACTCGTCATACTCGTTCCGACAATTTAACTCCAGAACAAACCTTATTAAATTCTTCAAAAATTTAAAATTTTTACAACGTGAAAAGAAACTTTTTGAAAAATTTTGCAAAGAAAATGGAATAAATGGAAATGACTTAGAACAAAACTTAATGAACTCGAATCATTTATCAAAGAAAGTTGTAAGATCATAGAGGAAATAAATAAATACAGATATCAAATAGAACGGTATAAAATCACTATGGCAGCTGCCACTCAAATAATAAATAGCCTTTTTCAGCAAAGAGAAGATTACAAGAACCAAGTTCAGAGACTGGAGCAAGAAAGTAACAGACTTCGAAATGAAAACTTGTAACTTCGTAGAAATCTTAAAATTTTATCACTATTTTGTTAGATTTTACTCACGGCTAACATGTATTGCGATTCCTGAACCTTGTTCTATTTCTTTGTTATAACTTATGACTAAGTATTTCACTCATTATTTTCAGGGTTGTTATTTGATTGATCGGGGGGATAAAATAAAATCCGCAAATTCAAGAAAATTTCTGAATTTTGCTTGCAGAATAAATTTTCATTCTGCGCACCGCAGATTCCGCAGATTCCGCATATAGATTTTAAACACTGATCACAACACTTGTATTATTTTGTTGATTTTACTCACGGCAAAGCATGTACTACAACATTCCTGAACCTTGTCGATACCAGGAACGGAGTGATATTGAAAATTTCACGGATTATGGTTAAATTGCAAATTAAATGGCGTGCGTCCGCTCTTTATTGGACAAATGCATACGGCGAAGCAAAGGTGTTGCATATCAAGATTTCACACGCTGTACCTTCACAGGGTATGTGTACGTTTGCGCATGATTCTTGCTCATGATCGCGGTAGTTAATTATACGAAAAAAACTGTTAATAAAATACCAAGAATGAATAGTGCAAATCACTAAGAGACGGTTATATGGCAATTTAAATTTGGTTAATAATATATAATATATAAATAGGTACTGTGATTATTTTTGAACCCAAACCAATTTTATATAACGTATAATAACATTTTCGATCTGATTCAAAAATAATTACCCGCGATAGTCGCAGGCTGATTAATATAATAACTAGAACATTACCATATGGGCGCCTGTTTTAAATAATTATGCATACAGAAACAAAGTTGTATTGTGTGACATTAATTTGAAACTGCTGATAGTAAAGATTCACAAACTTGATAATCTATTCAAATATTATTATACATATTTATTTTTCACCTTTACACTAGATTTAAGTATTTGGCGACTTCGTTGCCAGGTTTGTTGTAAAGTTGTTTATATGAATAGAAATGTTTTTTTTCTTTATTGTGCCGTGTATATGCCAGGAGCGGAGTGATATGAAAATTTCACGGTTATATAGCAAATTAAATGATCTTGCATATTATTGGATGATATGTGTGGCAAAGCATGGGTGTGAATGCATGCAGAAATATCACATATTACATCTTCGCATCTGATGTAACACTTCTATATTTAGTAATTCATAAAATTATTAATCTAACTTTTAACATACGTACGATACCTGACTGTAATTTTTTTTCTCAAGCTTCTTGTAATTGCTAATCTTAATTACCGTTATACCATTCTATTAATAGAATAAGATACTGGTTCCGAAGATCTGATTACTATTTCTGTATTATTATTATTGATTTTAAACACCTGCTGATATTAATAACAATAACATTAACATAATAGTTAACATGATAGTAGAATAATTCTCGTAAAAGTGAAATGTTGATATTAAAACTAAAATGGGATATGCCCCGGAAATGGCAAATGGGTCCTTCCACAGCAAATTGGAGCTTAGAGCCGATTTTTTGATTTGTAAATATCAACGATTAATCAAATTTTGATTGTTGTGATAAATATAGATCTATATTTAGTACCAGACTAGGGCTGTTAAGTGGTCCGACTCAAACCGATGGACCGCCGGTCCTGTCTTTTTTGGGACGGACCGAAAGGACCGTCGGTCCTAATATCAGTTATTATTAAATTATTGTTATAGATAATTAATAAATAAAATATAATCAGAATTTGCGATGTTTGATCTGATATTAAATTTAGATCAAGTACGTACATAAATAAAATATCTACTTATAGTCGTGAGAAAACTTTTTATTGAGTTGATATATGCTAAGCAGTGAATACTTAATTACATGTTTGGTGCTTACATATAACTGTTCTGAATTTGGAAAACCTAAATTTTTTTAGCGTAAAGCAAGAGCATGCATAATTAAACAAATATGTAAAGAATACTCCAACCTCATATATTGACTTTTTCCAATCACGATACTAATTTAGTTAGATGTTTAATTAATCAAAAAATAAAAGTCTTAAGCTAAATCGTTACAATAATATGTTCGTAAGTTATTATAGAAAAGCTACTTATGTTTAGGTTAACACAGGCAAATCGGGCATCAATCGGCATCTCGTAATCCCGATATGAACCTGATTTGAAACAGATATTTGGCGCAAATAGGAGACCAAGATACAAATTGGGTTCATATAGGCGATCAATACATATCGGAATGTCGATGGCTCTACAGGTAAATCAAAAAAGTCATAACGTTAAGGCAAGCTTTATCGATTTACCTATAGAGTTGTCGGCATTCCAATATGTATGTATTGATCGCCTATATGAACCCGATTTGTCTCCAAATATCTGTTTCAAATCAGGTTCATATCGGGATTAGTGCCCGATTTGCCTTCACTAAGAATAAAAGAAAGGTTTAAATATTCGGTTAGAGGTGGCTTTTATTTTTAAAACAAGCAATAAACTAATAATTTGAATGGAATCTATAATAATAGCATGTACGTAATAATACATGTTGATGCAACTTATGTAGCATTTAATTAGTCTAATAATCGGTCCGTTCAGTCTCATACCGATCGGTCCTAATCAGTCCTGGACCGCAGTCCGGACCAACTTTTTAAAAGACCGTCGGCCTTTGGACCAAGACGGACCGGACGGACCGATTAACAGCCTTAATTTTAAACCAGTGCGTACATAGTATGATCAATGCTAGATATGAACACTATCGCTATGTATTCAAAATTGGTTTGAGTAATTATTACAACGGTAGTCATTTTCAATCTGCAACTATTATGACACTTTAATTCTTTGCATTAATTCATAACAAGATTTCGAATTAAATAATCATACTGTACTGCTATACGAAAATCCGAAAACAAAATAAGTATTAATTTTATTTAGGGTGACTAAAATTCACGTAGCCATTTAATTAATGCAATTAAAGAATAAATTACTTCTCATATTATTTTTGCAATGATTAAAATTTTTTTTTAAATAATTCTTTTCACTGTTTAATACTAACGTACCTGTCGCACTAGTAAATATAAATATTTATCACTAGATAATCTCTACTATTTTTAATTATTTTTCTCTTATACAGTTAATTAAGTTAATTATAAAGATGACAAACATTCGAATCTAACCACTATCTCCTGGTTTCGCGTGATGAATACCGCGCAGCTATCTAGTTTTTTTAATTCACGGCTAGGCATGTATCACCTAATTTACAACACTCCTGAACCTTGCTTTCTTTACTCACGACTAAGCATGTACCACAGTATCAATTTAATTTTACTTATGGTTAAGCATGTATTACAACACTCTTGAACCTTGTACAATTTTGATTCTTTGTTATTTCAAACCAGATTTTATAATTTGTTTTCTGCACATTTCTTTTACTTGTACTATTTTGTTAGATTTTACTCATTAATTCTGTAGTGCATGCTTATGTTGTGATACATGCTTATCCGTGAGTCGAGAGAAAAATTAATAGTTTTGTAATTCTGTAATACATGCTTATCTGTGACTAATGATAAAATTGTCGCATACAATAATTTATGAAAAACCAAATTCTTATTAATAGATCACGGGCATGGGCAATCGAATTTTTATCCCATCACTATCCGCCTAACAAAAACTCTAGTTGATGCAATGTTATGATAAGTGTTTATCCATGAGTGTGAGTAAAATCTTGGGATGTTAAAACTGGTTATATAAGTTAGCCGAGAGTAAACAAATTGATTACTACGTAGATACATTTCAATAGATTATATACGTATTTTTAATTTTAATAAAACATAATTCAAACCACTTCTTAAAGAATAAAAATTTACAGATTTAATCTTAATAAAAACATATTTAAAAACTATAATAATTAATGCTATTACCTAATAGAAATTAAATACTTTAGTATATACTTATTTGCATCTTTTACTACTATTTATTTTTACTTACCACTACTGAATTTCTCAGGACATTTTTCAACAAAATGATTGATAACTTGCTGAACTTCATTTTCTTTACTTTCGGTAAAATAATTAACAGTGAAGCCCAAACCAAGTAATTGACTATGACAAAATTCTAGGGGTATCTTTTTTTTTTCTACAGTTTCAAACAAAAAACACATTGCTTGATGAAATTTTTTCTTCCGAGCAAAGTCATTACGTTCAAAATTTGGAATTGATTCTTTAATCAATTTACTAATATCATTTTTTGCAATATTTAAATATTCTTGATTTTTAGTTAAATTATGAACATAAACTGAAAAGTCAAATCAGTTTAAAAATTCTTCCCAATCCAAATCAATCTGAGTTTGTTTTTTTTTTGACTAAATTTATTAAACCGATCAGCCCAATCCTTAATATCGGTAGATTCTTTTGCGGCAAGGGTTATTGGAAAATATGAAGGTTGGACTAAAGGTGATATTCCATTTATTCGCTTAATTAAAAGGTCTGTTTGTATTTTAATTTTGTTTTCTTCTGGATCGTTATTCATTTTGTTTTGAAAAAAAGAATGAGACCCAACTACACAATTACTGAAAATAATCTTTTTTATTTATGTATTTTTGGTAGTACAATCTAACTGATCTAAAACTAGAATACGTATTTCATATACTAATTAACCATAATTATGTAAGTATATAATAATGATATTTCATACATAAAATTGATCATCAAAATCGATGCGTCTTTTATACTAGTAACCGCAAAAAAAAGTCCGCGACACGTGATTTTAAACCAATTACAACACATGATTAGGTGTAACATGAAAACAAACTGCCAGCTTTTTCAAAAAATACTACTGCTATTAATAAGAAAACAATTGCCTTTTTAGATTTTGTTAAAAATACAAAAAATGTTGATTTAATAAAAATTAAGAAATTTTATTTATATATAGCATTACTATAATGATTCTTTATATCTTTTATAAATTACTAATTAACTAATATAAATCACTTTTTTTGATATTAATATCTATATAAATTTATACTAATTTGTTTAATATTTGTATTTTTAAATATAATTATTAGTTTATATTTAATCAAATTTTTTATTTTATAATTATATTTTTGTTAATGTGAAAATAATAAATTTGATAAATTTGATATATTTTTTTGTATATATATTTTTTTAATTTGAATAATAAGTACAAATAAAATAGTAATAAAATAAAAATAAAATAATTAAATAAAGTAAAAAGTATAATATAAAGAAATAATAATAATTTTTAAAATAAATTATTATAAAATTAATATATTAATAGGTTTGGGCTCTATAGTTTAGCAGCTTAGCTGCCAAGCCTACAAGGCTCATAGTTTAAGTCGGGCTAGAGGCAAAAAATATTCTATAACCTAATAAGAAGTCAATAATTAAATATAAAGCCTTGTAGAAAAGTTCAAGTGAAGTATAAATTTGAAATAGGAATTTCTGGAAGAAAATCTAACTGTAGAAGATGACACTATGTGTAATAGCAGGTTTACAGAAGGTTTGGTTATATAAGATTGTATATATAAATCCTCATTGGCATAGATAGCACCAATAATCTTAATTTATCTAAAAAACTTATATAATTATAACATAGCATTGCTTTGATATTTTTTATCTAATTTTGGCACAATGCCAAATATTCAATTTATAAGCAAATATTGTAAACAATAAATCAAATATAATAATACAAACAATTTTAACAATACTTTAAGATAAGCTAAATTTGAATATTTTTATTTTATTTTTTTTGTTTAATACTAAGATTATAACTAATTTTCACTTATTGTGATATCACCCAGTATTATAAAATTTTATTAAAATAAATTTATGTGTAGTTAAGATTAGTATTAGGCTTAAGCTAAAGTTAAATTAGAGTTTAAGTAAAAAGGTTTATATATATAAAATTCAAAGCTAAAAACTTTTGTTTAGAAGTTAAAATATAGTTTTCATAATTAAAGTTATTAAAGTTTTTTTAAAATTTATTTTTTCTTTGCTTTGTTTTGGCTATATAAAATCTAGTGATCTAATTGGTTTTTATACAACTAGCACCTATGGATTTTGTGCTAGCTTATACTGATTACTGCTAATCATTAATTATATTGAGTACACAAGATGCACTTATATACATAATTCAAGTAGAGCTTTTCTAACTTGCATATACTATAGCATGTATAAATTCTATAAATAAATTTAAATTTTTTAGAATACTTCACAAGTCAAAATAAGGCAAATTAGGTTCAAATCAGTATTGCAAAATTCTAATATAAACCTAATATAAAACAGATATTTGGCACAAATAGAGCATCTATAGAATACAATTCAAATTAATATCAACATACAAAACATATTAGCAAAATAATAATTTAATAGGTAAATTAATAGAGTTTAACTTATAGCTCTATTGATTTATCTAATAAGCTATTATGTTTTGTATACTGATATTAATCTGAATTGTATTCTATAGGTGCCCTATTTGTGCTAAATATCTGTTTCATATTGGGTTCATATCAGAATTTTGTGATGCTAATTTGAATCTGATTTGCTTTATTTTGATCTGTTTTATTTAATAACTACATGATCAAATTTAGTAATTTTTTTATTTTAATTCTATATATTTGTAGAATTAAAATAAAAAAAGTTATTAAATTTAACTTAGTAATTATCGAGAAAACATTGCTAAAATTTTAAAAATATTTAAAATTTCTTAAAAAAATAAAATCGAATAAATTTTCCTTCTTTGAAATTTAGACAAAGATATTTCAACAACTAACAATTCAAATTTGATAAGAAATTTTTTATATTAATTCAATGTGTTTATAGAATTAAAATAAAAAATTTAATCAAATTTAATAGCAGGTTGTCAAGAAATATTTATTAAAGGTAAAATAAAAATTGGCTATAGCTTCTTAAGACATCTAAACTTTAAACAAAGATTACTTAACACTTACTTAATTAAACTAAATCAAATTTTTTTATTTTAATTCTATATTTTTGTAGAATTAAATAAAAAAATTTAATCAAATTTGAATAGCAGGTTGTCAAGAAATATTTATTAAAAAATAAAAAAAAATTAGTTTCAACTTCTTTTTTTAAGATATCTAAACTTTAAATAATTTTAATTCTATGAGCTTATAGAATTAAAATAAAAAAATTAATCATATTTAATCAGGTAAATATTGAGTAGTCTTCATTTAAAGTTTAGATATCTTAAGAAAAGAAGCTACAGCAATTTTTTTTTATCTTTTAATAAATATTTCTTGGCAACTACTATTTAAATTTGATTAAATTTTTTTATTTTAATTCTATAAATACACAGAATTAATATAAAATTTTTTTTATCAAATTTGAATTGTTGGTTATCAAGATATTTTTGCTTAAACTTCAAAGAAGAAAAATTTACTTGATTTTATTTTTTCAAGAAATTTTAAGTTTTTTTAAAATTTTAGCAATATTTTTTCAAAAATCATTGAGTTAAATTCAATAGACTTTTTTTTATTTTAATTTTACAAAGAAAATTTCTTAATTTACACCAGATGTATATACACACATACTAATTTTTGATTTACGAATTTGTTTAACATATAAATTATAAACGAAAAATTAGT